GTGAGTATATCAAGTAACTTTCGCTTCATACGGGCAGCAACTCGTTTAGCCGAGTAAATTGAAATTTGCTGCAAAATGATAAATGCATTTGGACGTGGTAGAGTCGACTAGACGAGACTGGATATTTACGGATGGCTGGTTTGAATTTCCCACCAGACGAGCCCCGCAATCAGGGGCCCAAACAAACCCTTTCGGCCCACTGCGTTGCAATCAAAACGTTATTATCTGGGGTGTTACGTACCGGTTAATGGAGCTGGTGCGACAACAATGAACTCGGATGATTGCCAACGTTTGATCCGGTCGGTACAAATAAGTTCACCAAACAGATTAGCCATTTTGCATATCTATTGAATCCGGCTAACGTAAAGCTTTATGATGACGAACCAGGAGTTTTCGATACATTTCAACTACACATAATTTCTGTCTCAATTGCAATGGTTTTCTGAAAATAAAAGAACAGTGAAAAAGTTTTCCTGCTCTATAGCACAGAGATCGGAGATATTACGTTGGCTACTTGCCTACGTTTGTTAGCTCTACTGCAATCCTTTCTTGCATTCCTACTCGTGTTGGGCGCAATTTTATATTTCCGAGTAGCATTGGAAAATAAAACTGTGCAAAAAATTAACTTTATTTCTGGATAGCATTGGACAATAAAACTAGTTTTTTTATTATTTTCAGAGCAAATAATGATCTTTAAGTTGGCCTCTATTTTCATTTCAATGAGACCGAAATATATCGTTGGTCCTACTATAATTTCTTCTTTGAATCACCATATCTCATCAATGAGGCACGTTTTCAAAAAAATGATTTTTACAGCGAAATCCACATCTGGTTATTTTAAACGACTGAAGGTCCTTGGCCAAATTTCATTTTTTTAATGTTAATGTATGTTATTTCCTTCGTTAAAATATAATTTTTTTAGCGGGGTTTTTATTACAATTAAATTTTTTAATTAAGTTTAAAAGCATACATTATTATGCATGTTTTTAAGCAAAAAAATCATATTTTTAAGCAAAATAACAACAAAATCAATAAATAAAAATAGAGGATAGTTCACGTGTCATGCTTCATTAAACCTATTCGGTTTTTTTTCTATTTCCTTATTTTTACACTTTTCGAAATCCAAGCCAAGTATCAAATTTCTGAAGAAATAAATTATCCGAAGACTTTCAAGCTAGATGAAACTTTCTATTGTGAGATTCACTTTTCTGTTTAAATTTGTTTTGCTATTGTTGGAAGCAAATCCTTTTAGTAAATTATATACTTTTTACCTTAGCCTGATTGGGATAATGATAAGAGGCCCAAAAACTGAAAAATATCTGGAGGAATTCTAGTAGAGAACTACAATGTGAAAGCGAATGAAGAATATGACGTATGAATATAAAGAAATTAAGTATTAATCAAAAGTGTTACTAAATTTGATATAAAGCTATCTCCATATAAAAACTTGCTAATGTTGTGCGAATTTTAGATTGTGAATAGAACCAATTAAATAAATAAAATTAACAAAATTCTCAACTAATTGCTATGCTAAATTCGCGACTAATTTCGTCAATTTTTGGCGACGACATTTTGTTTTCTAGAGGATCAGATAATACTGAGATAATAATAATTGTAAGTAAATGGTGAAGAATTAGTTTTTTATCGGCTTTTATCTTTGAATTTAGTGTTCATTGATCTACATTTTTTTCAGATTATATTTCATCTAGTAGTTGCATAGACTTTGATGTGTTTTAGTACGATTACATACTATTCCTGAAAGAACAGAATGCGTTAGAAAGGGGATTATTTGCTTGGAATAAAATGTAAATTTTCATTAATTTAGATACAATGTGACAACTTAGATACAGAGTTACAGAGTGATTCTCAGAGTTTGACAATCCCGAAATTTGAAATGCAAAACAAGTAATATTTAAAATATTACTTACAAATTACAAAATTTCTCAATAATTGATGTGTGCATTAAAAACTCAAAAGTTAAAGGACGGCAAATTGAAAAAAAAACGATTTGTGTTCTGTGCTGCATTGAGAATGACAAAGTCATAAGTGAAACGATTTTTTGAGCTGGATACTTAAAAGGCAGCATATAAAACCAAATAATATAATAGTTGCGTACAATTATATGGCCACTTTTGCCGCCTATTCGTATAAAATAAGACGTATTATATTTATACGTATTTAACTATTAAATGTTTGGTCAGAAGTCATAAGAATTGAGTCTCAGATAGTCTTCAGACTAAAGATAATCAGTTTTAAGATATACGGTATAAGAGTTATAAGTCATAGTTAAGTTTCGGTTACACATAAAATCTGTACTGTTTGTATTAATTTGGAAATAAATTGTTTTTAAAACGCAAACTTTCAAATTAATCAATAAAATTGTTCTTAAGACAGGATTTGCAGATATTTACATTTATCTGATACTTTTGCAAACTTTCTTAGTATAAATGTGCAACAGCAACAAAATCAGCTTGTTACGGTTATTATATCAGTAACAATATTTGGAAAGATGAAAATATACATATACATTTTAGAATAGTTCCGTTTAGTATTTTTGTGTACTAAATGAAAATTGTACATGAATTCTGCTCCCATTTACAAATTTGCAAGTTATTTCGGTCAACACCTTGGTTCCATTGATGGCAACTTCCACTTTTTTCAACTCCTAGCTTTTCTTATTAAACTGTTAAACAAGAAGCAACAAACAATTTTTTTGATAATAAAACAAAACAATATTTATTTATATATTAGTCTGGAAGGAATTATCCGCTTAAGATGCTACACTCACCTACTCAAACAATCTTTCAACCAACTGATTATTTACTCAATCAACAGTGATTTGTGTGGTACCGACAAGGGAGCCGGAATGTTGAAAGAAATGCAACTGCCGAATATTTAAAGAAAGTTCTTAAGAGGCATGAAATAAGCTTTCGGATAAGTGACGGATAATAAACCAGCTGATTTAATTTTCATTCCAGAGCATTTCCTTCGTGCCAATTGGAATTTTTATGACCAAACATTTGCGAAAAATACATTTGTTTTCAAAAAACTTCAACGAGTCAAGGAAGTATGTTTATTTGATGCAATTTTTCCATATTTTTAATAAATTTAAATTATATGAAGCAGAAATGGAAATTTCAATGAATTGGTAAACAACTGGTAAACTTTGGGCTGATATCAATAAATTGAAACTGATAAAGTTTTTTCTAAAAGAGGATTGAGAAGTTATTTGGATAGTAGTTTTGTTAATTTATGTCTATCGGGTCTGGTAACATGTTTTAATGCATTGTTAGGAAGCGTTATTTTTACGTTGTTTAATTCTCCTGTTGATAAATGCTGGAAATATGATGATGATACATTAAAAGTCAGAAAAATAATTTGTTCGGAACGTAATTGTTTGAACGGAACATTCATTGGCTAGTGCAAGAAAGCTGCTTTGATTTTATAGGTAGTTTTACTTATAGTTTCTTCACCGGCTATCTAGCAATTTATTCGCAGGCCAACTCCACTAAAACTTTGAAAGTGTCCTTTGCCTCTATCTCGAAGCAAAGTTCAGACTCAAAAGAGACATTATTGTGTTACAAGAAATTAAGCAACTCATTAAAGCTTGATTATAGTTTGCAAATTCCGAAATCCCGTCGAGAGTATACAATATCCGTTATAATCAAAGTTCTAATGCAGCTAACTCCGTTCGGTAATGCCGCTAAAGAAAATTATTGTTTGACGTTGCTAGTTTGAAATAATTGTAAGTGCCGGTTGCGAATTTACATAATTCAAGGAAACAGCAGGATAAGATAGTGGAGATGGCGGAATCTCCAACACTTTCGAGATGTACTTTCGTAGCAGATGCATCAAATTGTCAGTATTTTCCGTAAGTACCCGCAAAACTTTCCGAATTATATTGTGTTTTCAGTGGAAAAGCGAGCAGAGCCACTGTGTCGACAAATTATCCGACAAACTTTAGTTATTTGCTCGGTTATGAAAACGACAACTGGCTACAACTTTTTCGATGACAAACTCATTCGTTTACTCAAACTTTATTGTTTTACTCAAATGTTAACGTCGCTAATAACATAAAAACACAATGGAAAGGAATAGAATTCCGTTCGAATTTAAAAATATTAATTAACTCCCCATAGTTAGCTGAAATTGTTAAATATAAAAAGTCCAATTTCGACTCAATGTCCTGATTTTTCCACTTAATTTTCCATTTGCCTGGAGAATACATATATTTTTACACAGTCTACACGTCGCTATATGGTTCACTTGTTCTATTTACTCTGAAACAAAAGTACACACGGGAACATACACGGAGTATCAGCGATAAGTTTCACGCAAATGTAAATTTATACAGCGTGCCGCAGTTTACAATAGTACCAACACTTTATTTACTATGGGAGCCTGTTATCTTAATTAACTTCTTTGGTTCCCTTTGTCATGACCGAAATGGAAGCGAGATATCACAACACTTGGTATGTATAAGTTACAATCTAGCGGCTAGTTTTTGTCTAAGGAAGCATCTAGATAAGAAGAGTTAAGCGTCTGGAAAGGTTAACAGAACTGATTTGCTTATGTGTAGCTTAAGTAATAAAATATGTATACTTTAATATTCGATAATCGACTGAGAGTATTTTTTGCTTTTTAACATAATTGTTTTTTTTTGTTTCAACAATAATTGTACATTTGGAAAAATGGGAATGCTGTTTTATTAGACAAGTCGAATGTAAATCTTCTATTAAGTATTATCAATTAGTTGGAGTGTTTAATTTGTCCAAGACTTTTTTTTTATTTTTTGCATTCAGCATATTTTTTATGTGAATGTTTCTCTGTTTTGTTAAAGATATTCTTATGCCAATTTATAAGCAAATTTTTGAATTAATATCAATTTTTTATGTATTTATTTCTTGATAAAAAGGGCATCAAGTGCGTTTTGATGACTTAAATAAGGATTAGGGTTTTTCGGTATATCCAGATTTTCCGAAAATAATTCGTGCGTGAAATTTTCAATATTTAGTTGTGTATGTTTTATTAAAATTAGCGTACATTTCTAACAAATAGGCGGTTAAGCCTGGACTTTTCAATTTCGGTTTGAATTTTTGTCACTCGACTACATCGAAAACTTAAGTCTACACCAGTTGATATACAAGTGTATTTTTACATAATCCAAACGGTTCTCTAAATCGCCTCATAGTTTTAGTTTCTTGAAAATTTGAGGTTGCATTTTGAGAACGCCTTCAATTGATACTTGCAATGACATTGACGACTATATTTATCCGGCGTTGTTAAACATTTTATCACGTCCAAAACCAGTCTAGAAGGAAAAACGGCCTTTAGAGCGATAAAATATACAAACACTACTCTGTGTTTTCTTCAAGTTTGGTTCGCTTGAAGTCGTATTTGGAATTTTGAGAATTATTCAAGGCAAGCCCCACTTTTTCGCCTAATTTACGTCCTCGTTTTTGTATTATTTATTACCCCAAACCAAGTGAGATTGAAAAGCAGTTGTAAGGAAAATAAATTGAGCAAATGTAAGTTTCCACAAAAGTTTGGGTTTCTTAAATGTTTTTCTTAATTTTGAGAATTATTCATAACTAAACTTTCAATGGTTTCCATTTTTTCCTCATTTTTGAAGTATTCAGTACGCCTAAACGAAGCGAGATGGAAAAACAGTTGTTACGAAACGAAATTGAGCAGACCTCACTGTATGATTTCTCAAATTTTGGGTTTTTTAAAGGTCTGCACTGAATTTTGAGAATTACTCAACATGAGACTTGTAAGTTGACTATTAAGTCGCAATCGAAAATTTATTAGGCCCAAACCAGTTGAGACGAAAAGTAGTTTTGCGGCAATAAATAAAGCAAACTTTACTACCCACTCTATGTTTGCCCAAAGTTCGGTTTCTTTGGATCTTTGGGATAGAAATTATTGAAAAGCGGAAAATTATAAACACAATTCAGATTCTATTACGTGTTATGTTACATGATTTGGCGGCATAATTTATACCGCCAGTTTTGTTCTAATATTTTAAAACTGTTATTTCCAATTTGTAGATATTTTCGCACTTAACCCTACAGTTTGGATTTTACGTTGTAGATCAACAAGCAAAAACTACTTTTCAAACCGTAACGTCGTCCCGATTAGATTTAATCATTCTGCTAAACAGAAAATCGCCGACACAAACTTAGTTAAGCAAATAAATTTTATTGAAATCTAAATATTATAGATAGTAAGAAACAAGGATTTCATTTAAGAAAGAACGGCACAAAATCGTATTTATTCGCTTAACCACTTTGCGGAAAATAAGTCTTTAAGGAAATGGCTTGAAAAAACGCGAAGTGGATTCGTAAGGCTGGTTTCTCGTCTCAACCAGCGACAGATCAGAAATATATATTAATGCTTTTTATTTATTTGTATTACCAATAAGAATTTTGATTCCAAATTTGCCTTTAATATGTTTTTGCCACTGCCCCGTTCCTAAAATTGATAGTTAGAAAAATTGGTAGTCTTTCACTTCTCATTGGTGTTTTTGAAATAAAATTTCAAGCGAAACCCAAACAAGTATGTCGATAGATGTACTTACCTATATTTTGCTTGCAACTATGATAGAAATTTGAATATCGGGCAGGACTCTAATAGTTTGCAATGCAAATTTAAAGCCGAAATGAAGCTACAACTAAATTACTACTTGTTCACCTTAACTCCTTTATGCAAATTTAAAAGAATCTACATAGTGCAAGCGTTGTGCACAATATCGCGTCTCAATTTACGGAAACGATTCTCTAGCGATCTGGTCTTTGTTGGGTCCATGGAAATGTGGAAAATTTCCACCGCAAAGAATCAGTTTGACAGACTTTTAAAAAATAATGAATTTTCCGGTGCCATACAATTTATCACGTCGGGGCGCCAAGCCAACGCTTGACATATTTATAAAATATCTCTAATGTCAAGTGAAAACTTCATCACCTCTCCCTTTAAATTACGACTTTTGTTATTCCAGTCTACGTGACTCCGGAATTAAAATAAAAATATGTGGTCGAAGACTGTGCGGGCACAAAAGTTTTAGAATATCTTTGACTCTAGGTGGGTTTTATTGTGTTTGGGATTTGATAAACTTGTCTCCAGTAAATTCTTTAATGCAAATGTTAAGACCATTTATCAATCAGTTCAGCATCTACCTGGTAATCGGGTTATAAATCAATCAGCAGTAAGTTGGAATAAAAAACACTGCTCAAGTTGCCTGCAAAGCACATGATGGTCTGACTGCATTACTTAAATAGACACTAATTGCAAGACGATGGAAAATATCTGATCATGCATATTTCAGCCACACGCCTTGTTTTATAATTTGAATTCTCGGCGAATATTTTATCAGTATTGCATCAAAACTTGCTGAAATGTTAATTGCCTGGCTTAATGAGCAAACCTCATAGAAGGAGAATAATTGCCCAATGAAAATTATAGTTGATATGATAACATGTACTATCGCATACAAGATAAGCAAGGAATAAAAATACATATCCTTTCACCTATATACCTGGTGAATCCCCTTATTGACATATTTCCTGAATATATGCAGTACTTTCTGAGTAATGCATTTCTAAAAATGCAAATAGATGCCATTGATTAAATTCTGAGAATGGATCCGAAATTTCGCTGGTAAAATAAATAAGGTTTAAAAACCACTCCAATGCAAATCCAAACATCCAGCTGTGTAAACGGAGCTGGATAATTGCAACAAAAAGCCGAGTGTCACTATTTACATATGCATGGTCGATTTAAAACTTCCATTTCCTGCATTATTTTTGCTGAAATCATACATATTTGCGTTTTAGTACAACTAATCCATTAACGGATACACGATAGATGCGGTTTGTTCATGATGTTACATCATCATACTTTTATGTTCCTTGGACTGAAATATCCCACAGTATTTTTTTATTTCGAACCACTCGAAAGGAATAATTACTTGAAATATCAAAAAAGTAGACGTGTATCTCCCTCCTTTGCTGATTGTGTCGTGCTCAATTAAAAAATATTGAAAACTTTTAATGATTTTTTGGTGATTTACAGCAATGCAGATGATTTTGTTGATACATTTGTTACCTTCCGAGTTTTTATACAAATTTTTTGTTAAATGAGCAACATAGCTATCTTACTATATTGTGCTCAAACAACGTTTTATGAATTCCTGTTTCGAATCTAAAAATATATGTAACAATAATAATGAATCAACTAAATGCAAAATAAAATGATTCTTTTCATCCATGTTCCAGAAGGATGAATGTAAGTCCCATGAGTTTCATAACGGCGTAAGCAAACTTTACTATTAAAAAACAATGGGGTCAATCTTCGATTTTGAAACACATTATTTGAACAATGTTTCAATCTCAACACAAATTGAAAGTTGGTTTTTAAAGAATTATCAATTTTCTTTATGAAAAGAAGTTTAATTAAACAAAGATAATTTTTTGGATTAGGTTTTAGCTTTAAAAACATGCTTTTGCCATGAAGATTTGGTCTGAATTATCATAACACTCGCTAGTACAATTCCTATTTTTCATACTGTTGAAATTGTCTAGCTTTTCGAAAAAAATGTATCCAAGAATGATAAAGGAATGAAAAAAAGTGTAAGGACATGAACATTGAACAATATTTTCAAATTATATCTGTTGGTAAATTTTAAAAAAATAATTATATTTGTTATATTTTGAGTCATCTTTTGCGGCATTGTATTTATTGTATTTTCGTCCCTTTTTTTAGCTTTTATTTCCATTAAGTATGTATTTCTGCATATTCTGGCGCGTATAAATTGCATACAAACGTTTGCAATGTGTTTTTTTTTGAAAATTTTGTCACAATCGACGAGGATTTTGAAACAGGATTTCTTATTCTCTATAATTACCACTTTAACATTTTACCTTTAAATTAGTAAGTACGAATTGAATGCATTTGAACGTGCCTGGAAAAGTAAAAATTCGCTAAGATTTACTCTTCACATGCACCCCTTTCAATCAGAGCATCGATTTTTGGGCTTGAAAGATGGCTTATTGGAGATGGGAAATCGAAATGATTACCCAAAATGTGTCAATACACGTAAATTATATCTCGATAATGCGCTGCGGGCGCCAATCTCGGCCTCCAAATACCCAGATTTGAGCACATGCCGAGGAATTGGGCTTTTGATGGAACTACGCTATTTATTAAGGGGGAAATTGGATGTATCTGGTTTGTATGAAAAGACTATTCAGGAACATTTAAACATTATCAAGCGGCAAGTTGATTTGGAGAGAAAATACTTTTTTTGGATCAATAAAGACTTCAGTTAAATTTTTGTAATACTGTAGTTTTTTCAGTTTAATTTATTGAGGACAATATTAACTGAAAGACATTAGTTAGTTAGTATTCGCCAAATACACATTTCAGCTTTCTTGCAATATTTTCATTATTGTACGTTTCTCTAAATTGCTCAAGATTTATTTCATTTGGCACCTTTTCTTTATTTTAACCCGTTTTGAAACTAATTGCTTTTTTAGTGGTGGCCACCAGTCACTAATTTCAGAGCTCAAAAACTAAATGCAATTGAAAAGTAAATATAACAAACCAAATTAAAATAATTCTGTTTTAATTTAATAAGTCATTAAAAATAAAAAAATCTGCGTTAAGGTAAATCTTTGTTAACGCTAAATGACATGTATACAACCTAAACAGATTCAAAGTTTCCAGCAGTTTTATTGAGAACTATCATGTCTCATTGAATAAAGTATAAAACATTTACAAATATAAATAAAATAGTAGTAGGTAGTATGCGTCCTTTTTCGTCCCGGACGGTCTTCCTGCCCGTGAGGTGTAGTTATAATAATATCTGCACAAAATATGTTCATAGTAATATAGATAGATATGTGCAAGAATTAAGAAAGAATGTTAATTAAAAATATATGCTTTCTAATAAGGTGTGGGGAGGGGAAAGGTATCGGGAGTGTGGTCAGTCTTCTAAGAGAGAAAGTTAGTATTGTCCAGTTGTAGAGGTTGTAAATAAAATATTTACTTTATTTTCAAACTTTTTCATTTCAAATTATACAAGAACGACACATCGGATAAACACATAGAAAATTAAATGACGTCGGAAATATAAATATAATACAAAAGTACTTGCATGATCCACCCAAATCTTTGAATCAAATTTTGATTTCTAACATTCACTTTTCAATCGGTGTTTCGGATCTAACAATTTGAAAATATTTTACCGGGGTTAATAATAATCATATTAATAATAGTCATAATTTATAATAGTCATAATTATTAATAATAGTCATAATTTATAATAGTCATAATTATTAATAATAGTCATAATTTGTTTATCCGCAATGTTTCGGTCGAGAAGCCTGCAAGATCTGGAAGCTTGCTAATTTTTGCATGTAATTTCTGAGAATTTTGGGTTTTTAGGACGTTAGGATTGGATTGTTTTCAACCATTGCTTGCGAAATGCAAAAAAAATGTATCCACGACTCCCTAAAGACCCCGAAAAACTCGTTGTTTCATTGAACGGTAGCAAACGCGTATCTCGTATGATAAAATTGTCTGCGTATGCAAATTACACCAAATTCACGAGATTATACCAATCAGCAGGAATTGAGAGCAAATTTTGATTATGTGATCTTTAATGTTCACCTCAATCTCGGCAACAGAGGCAACTACTTGGTTCTAACTTTAATATCTTAGGGATCCTCCAGATTCTTTTCCTCTGAATAATTTGATGATTTATATGCATACCTATTTGTACCTCGCGTTCTATATTTACTTTCTTTTACATGTTTATTGTTATGTATTTTTCGAACGAGGATTGATGGTTAATGGTCATTTTATGGTTAAATGAAGTTGATTAAATGCCTATGAATGAATTCCTGAATATTTTAAAATTTGTCGCCACTTTATGTGCAAAAGTTAGGTTTTGATAGCATACGAGGTAAAACACGTTTTTTTACAAGAAAACTTAAAGTTTTAGAGCAAATTTCCGGAACATTCATTCCAATACTCCACCAAATAACGGAAACAACCAGTTAATTTCCAAACTACCTTAATTTGGGCTCTAAACGTTTAGTGGGCAATATTAAAGCAAATTCCCAGCAAATCTAACTAAAATCGATCAATTTGGCTTAGTAGTTAATGAAACAATTACGAAGTAAGCGGACACAAACTAAGAAAAAGGTTAGCAATTTGTATTCGTAAAGTCAGCAATGATTTATGTCTGCTGTTCGCTTTACGCTACTTGAGAATTTGTCGTCAGCTTCGCTGAATAGGAAATCGAGTTTTTTGTTTGTCCATATATCATTTTCAGCAGAAAACTTTTCAGAATGATATTATCATTAAGGAGGAAATTTAAAAAATTGAAGCAAAAGTTGAGATTTATTGCTGCAGTGCAGTGACACGTTCGAGTTCGAAGTTGAAAAACCACATCTTAGTATATAGGGTCGACTAGTTTTCTTAGATATTTTTTTATTAGCATTGTTTAAGTTCGTTATTTTGATTGCAATATTTAAAATCACAAATCAAAATTGTTTGCTGACGACATTAAAGTTCAATAAAATTGAAACTGCCCTGGCCGAGCAACTAATTGTTTACGCGGATTCACACAAAATATTTATTGGATTGAAATGTTTTGTTTGGTTATTTAAAGTTTGGTATATATGCAAATATTGAATGAAACATGAAATTTTTATTACGGCTTTAACCCACAATGAATTATAATTTCGAATTGAAATGCAAACTAGTATCAATTAAAGTTTGGGCTTCAATTCTGTGGGATGTTTTTGCTGCATTCTGCCGCTTAATTGATCGAAAACAACCATACTTTATCTATTTGCAAAAATAAGAATTTTATAGCCGACTAAGTAATTATTAAAATATATTTTTTAAATTTCCAACTTCATATTCGTGTTATTTATATTAAATATAAATACAGTATTTGTAC